TTTAGTGCTATAAACAGAAAATCAAATGTATTTTCGAAAATATTCCTATTGAGCCTGATTTATGGCCCAAATCTGAGCAGATTTACGACGCATAAATTCGGCAAGTATTCAACAATTTCAATAAATTCGCCTTGATCTGCATAAATGCAAAGTATTTTCCTGAGGCCTGGCTTTTTGCTAAATTGTATCAGTAAATGTCATAAATGTGAATCAAAGAGGCGGCAGGCAAAATACGAGGCGCATATCAAAGGCGTATTAACGTTTTTACGCACTTCCCATCGTTCCTTTTCCGAAAGTAAAGAAAGTGACTTAAAAGCCCCGGGAAGACAAAATCTCCCTGCTGGCGCTTGCAAATCCTTTCGTGCAGACATAAACGCTTTCGAGGGAAGCGAAATTTATGTAAAGGACTTATGCATAAAATTGCGCATCATTGAAGTTGAAATGCTCGACATCATCAATACACTTCTCTCTTCTCCGACGGTTCTGCCATTAAGTGAGGCCAAATCTTTTCCTGAGCTCCGACCGCTAAACGTTGCGCATACGCCATGTGTTCTGGGTTTTGGGTGGTGGTGAGTTAAGCGCGGCTATTAGAACAAATTGAATAATATCGAGCTGATATTTTATGCATTTGTTTGTGACTTTGAAGTGCTCGCCACGCGCTCTCAACACTTTTCCCATTCTGTTATTTTATTTTGCTCCAGTTGGCTTTATTTTTTGCTCCCCCCATCTCGCTTTTATCAGCACACGCACAGACCTTGACTCTCCAAGTCGCCTAAATCTCGGCGATATATTTTACATCATTATAGCGGCTACCTCACCCTCTGTCTTCTTGTTTATGTTTTGTAGCTCCTCTCGCGATTTTATGACTTTGGCAGGCATTCCATACCATATACCCCATACCCCTTCCAAGAGCCCTAAGCCCCCGACAAAAGCTATTGAAACAGATTTCGCTGACTTTGCTCACTTTCCCCAGCCCCGGGGCTTCTTTTTTCTTCTTTTTTTTCCAACCCACCCAATGAAATTCATTTTTCGATATGTTATTCCTGCCCGCTTCACGTGTGAGGCATTCGGTTTACCTGAATCTGAGATGGCCCCTCCCCTGAGTTTTCCTCCCTCCATCGGATGCGACACTTTTAGCATCATTATCTGCACGGCATCGAAGGCTCAGACTCAAGCACTTTGAGTTATGCGCCTGGCAGACGCTCAAAAAACATAAAAAACAAATAAATGGCAGGGAAAAACGAAATGTACACAATGATACACAGGCGTAGTCAGCGAAGGGAGAAAGGGGAGAAAGTGGTGGAAGAAACCAGATGCGATTAAAACCCCACAGATATATACGTTCCAGCACGCATACGGATAAATAAGGTATTTTATTACCCAAAATCCAAGACGAAGATTTAGAAACTCCTAGATCTAAGACAATGCAGGCTTAAATGTAGATTGAAAGTTTTTCTTAATGGCATTAAATATGTTACCGGCTTTTTTATTTCGAAGTTTGAAAAGTTTGTAAATAAATCCTTCAATTTTAGTTTCGGTTTAATATTTTGAACGGACACATCAATATAAAATTCATGAAATGTATTCTTAAGCATATGTCGGCTTCATCTGAAAAAGACAAATATTGCTTGAACTTGATCATGGCATTAGGAAAAACAATCTATCCCAAATGTACCATTTTCAAAAACTTTGTTAGTTTTTTTACCAAAATAACAAAATATTTAATTAAAAAAAAAATATTTTTTAACATGATTGGCGATTTGCTCTTGAAACAAACAAATTTATGTACCTACATTTTTTTTTAAGGACGTTGAAAGGTATAAGGTTTCCGACTTTATTTAACTTTTCTTAAAATTTCCGAATCCTTTCTTATTACTGTAGTCAAACCTAAATCTCGACCCAATTTATGACTGTTTATTCCTTTGGGTTGCTTTCGATGTGTCGGCCTGATGAGATGTGTGTGTCGGGCTCAAAGGTTTTCTTTGTCGGGGACACAAGTCAAATGCCCGCCGTTTGAGTTGGGTTTACGATTGCGGTTAACAATCATCTCGTTGATGGGATTAATTTGCCTAAGTGCAGTCTACGCTCGGCAGAAACTGCAATGCCACATTTGCACCGAGAGTCAAATAGAATCGACACCTTTCTGGGTTATTTTTATGGGCCAGGCGATGATGCTAGGCGATGGAGATGTGCCTGTTGGCACATAAACATCCATCTATAAATTGGTTTCGGGTTCCGTGGATGTGTGCTTAACACACCATTGAACTGTTACGCAACAGGAAGCCACACACAGAGAGAGATACACAGATATCCAGCAGATACATATGTCCGGCGGTTGGAGCAGTTCGGCAGTTCGGCAGCCCGGCAGAGGCAGACAAATCCCATTTGATGTTCACTCAGCAGAAAGGCAACGCCAATGAAGCATGCAAAAGGTATTTCAGCTTTTTCGTTGCCGGCCCCAGATTGCTGAGATTTTGGCTTTGTAACTCAAAATTTGGGGCGGTACAAGGAGCGAATGTGCAAACATCATGAAAAACGCTGCCACAACATCGGGGGGAAAAAAAGAAAAAGGAAAAACCGAGCCAAGAAACAAAGGCCAAAGGCAGATAAAGACGCTTACAAGCCGCAGGGCAGCCAAGGCAAAAAGGAAACTTTTCCCTATTTTTCCTCCTCATTTTTATTGAACTTTAATTCATTTTGCAGCATATTCAGTTAAATGTGCAGAATAAATGGTTCCATTTAAGTGCTTACCCCGTGCAAATGCAGCTCCATATGCGGGGATCTCCCCTCATTGTCCATTGGGTCATAAAATGGCTTCCGGTTATACTTCAAGCGAGATTAACTTGTCGTTTACAATTTCCCTTTGATTTGTTTCCAACGGGTGTGGGGACTACATTGTATATCTGTCCTGGGGGTAAAGTGCGGGTCTAACTTATATATATATATAGACTAGGGCTGCCTTTGCGGCACTTTCGCTTTCATCTCGTGACACTTTTGTGGTGGAAATGCACTTCGCTGGAATGCCCTTTATGGGGAAAGGTACATTGGTTGCTTGGTTTTTATTTACATTTGATGATGATAACTAATTGGATGTTATATTCATTGTATTATTTTCTGTATTTTTACTGTAATATTAAAAATAACATTTTTTTCCCTCTAAAAGCGGTTTTGAAAACAATTAAACAAAAACATTTTTAAATAAAAGAATAACAAGAAGTTTGTGTTTTATTTTGTTTTGTGGCATAGAATTTTTACACTCTCATTGATATAAAAACAATTGGAATAACATGTACGCAATGAAAATAAAAAATGTATTTGATTTGATATAAAAATTTAACGAGTTTTATATTAATAGTTTGTATAGCGACAACCATTATTGACAGAAATACCACTTTTTCGACAGCCCCAAAAAATATGCTTGGAAATTGAACTTTTCTTTTTTTTGTTGCGAATACTTTTAAAACAAATCGTAGGCCATCAGAACAAATTGGTTAGAGTACTCTCATTTTTCCGTCATTCAGATTGAAAAATGCCCATGTAATTGCGCATTGTTGTTGTTCTCCTGGTCTGGTACAAATTGATTTACAACAATCCATTTTCGCCCGGGGCAACCGCTGTGAGACCCCAACCAGCTGACCAGAACACTTGTGGGCCCAAAGTCTCAGGTGTGAGTTTTATTTGTTTGGAAATTGTTTTCTCTTCGCTTTGTTCCGAGTCCGCCTGTTTTTTTCTTTTTTTGCCCAGTTTGCTTTGTTTCGAGAGGATGAAAAGGAAGCCGCACGCAGTTCGGGTCTGTTTTCCTTGTGGCCTGGCGGTAATTTCATTTCGTCCTGGCTGCGGTTCCATAGAAGTGCACTCAGCTTTCGCTTTCACCTTACGGCCAAACACAAAACCGAAGCCCAAACTCAGACCCAAACCAAATCTGGCCCAGTTCGCGGCTGCTATGCAATTAAGCCACGCAATCAGAATGCAAGATGAAGGCTCGGCAAACAATTGAATTCGGCCACGAAAGGGACAGCCAGTGATGGCCAAGGTTCCTGTACCAAAATTCTTTTTTTCTAATTAAATTAATCACTAAGATTTAAAAACCACTTAAAAAATACTTGGAGAAATTAAAAAAAAAATGTACAAACTAAATCAAAAATTTGTTTTGCATAGCATTTAGACATCTTTATAAATGATTAAAAACGCTAGGGATTAAATAATTTTTTTTTTTGAAAAAACTTAAAATTTTTATGAAAGATGAAATAATTATAGGGCTAACGTATTGTACCTTGGAAAGGATAAATGTACCCGGGATCCCACAGCACTGGGAACAGGATTTGGAACCCAGCAGAAGCGTCGGGTTGTGAGGTGGCCCAAATGCTGGCAAAATGGCGGCCACAAGCTGCAAAGCCAACATGGCAGCTGACATCTGTCAGATGCTGTTATTCCGCTGCACTTTGGTTGCCTTTGGGCTGCAGTCGGGCATCTGGGCTCCCTATTCCGGCCGCACTTTGTTTGCCTAGCCCGACTGCGCACTCACAATGGCTCACCCGGAGCCAAATAGGAGCCTCTAACGAGCAGCTCCATGTGGTGACGTCGATCGCGGGAATAGTGGACCATTTTTTGGGGACTGAATGGACCAGCTGGGTTTTCAGAGTATTTATTCTCTCTCTGCCTCGTTAGTCTTTTATTTGAGTCGAGCAATGTTCCTTGCGTATTTAACAAAAATCAAAAATAAGATTATTAAAGATTATTTTATAGATAATACTATTTAATTTTTTAAGAATGGCTATTTTTATTTAGAATACTGCTACATTTATTTTAGTAAACAACAAGTAATATACTTTAAATCTAGCCTCTTACTATTTAAAAAATGCATTGAACACTTTACTAGTCGTTCGTGTGACGAATCACATAATTATAATTTCACGTTCAAGTTTGCATATCATATTTTATGTATTTTCTTCGTAATTTATTATTTACAATGCAGATTTTTCATTGAATAGACGCTCAAAATGAAAAGACAGTTTTATATATTAGGTAAGCAAAGAGGTAATTTTTTATTTTATTTAGAAGCCAATTTGGAATAATTTAGTTATAGTGCCAGTTATTTTCCTACTAGACATCACTTATTCGCTGGAAGCCCTGGATGACTTCGAAATCCCTGTGGAAATAACCACATTACGTGATAACAAGAATATTTTTGGTCCTGTGCAGCTGAAGGGAAGGACTCGCATCGAGGGAAGGACTCGTCAAGTGCGAACATTGCTCGATACAACAAACCGTACGGGAAAAATGATTGAAAACTATTGCTGTTTCTGGATTTACCAGGCCCATCCCCCCATTCCGCACACCTGGAAGCATATGGCCGAATATCCATTTGACTTCCAATTCAATGGCCAGTTTGTGAAGAATCAACGACATAACGAAATTGAAGTACCCGAAAGTAAAGGTGATTGACCATCCTAATTACTTTCTAAATGATCGGAGGTGCCTAAAATATTCTGATAATTGAAACGCCAAAGGATTTCCTTTGTATTATGATGGCCATTCAATCACATTTGATTTAATACTTGTCAGAAGCATTTAAAAATATTTTGAAAATGTATTGACAGTTTAGTAAATGCCTAAATAATATTTTCTGCACTGTGGCGATGCATTTAATTGGGCCTACGGCACTCGACAGCTTAACTGAGGCCCAGAATTGTAATTAACTTTGTCTGGCCAGCAAAACCTGACGGGGCCAAAGTTGTCTCAAAAGTTGAGAAATTCGTTCGGCGACCCCCAGAAAATCATGGGGCAGGGGAGCGCTTTTTGTGCCTAAAAGCCTGACAGCACATAATGGATTTGACACATTATAATCAGGTTTGCATAGTGTCCTTCGCCCAGTCTTCAGTCTGTCAGTCAGTCACTGAGTCGAGTCGAGCGGTCCCTCGAGCAATCCGGCAACTTGGGCTCTTTGACGTGCTCTGCTTACTTGGTCAGCAAGTTGTTGTAGTTAGCTCAAGTCTTACACAGTGATAAATATTAAGAAAATTAAATAAAAATTAAAATTTGATTTATAGTAGAAATTTACAAGATAAAAAAAAAATGTTTTGAATTTAAATTTTGATTGAATAATGAAAAAAATGTGTGAAAGAATAGAAAACTAAACTAAAGTAATAACAATATATATGTTAACATAATATTTTAGTAAAACAATTTTTTTAAGAAGCGAAATCCATTTGAAAAATATTATATATTAATTTTAAAGTGTTTAGCTTTTAATAAATATCTCTGATATAATAGTCAACATAAGAAATGTTTTTCTTAATGATTGGAATTCAATCATTTGATGAATATAGATTAGATTATTTTGATAAATCTACACTTTTCTTGCACTGCAGTAGTTGCCCATCATCGCAGTCCTGAGAAGTTTGATAAATAAGCAAGCCCATGTCTGGGCATTTACTTAGTTAATTAAATTCAACTTCTTCGGCCGAGGGAAATGACAGCGGAGGAGGCAGGAGAGCGAGCAAGTGGAGCGCTGCAGGGCGAGCAGGTACTGGTACTGGCCCACAAGTTTTCCATCCTGCCTGGGAAAAGTTTGCCGGTCTGGCCGTCGTATTTGTTCATATCATAGGTAAATATATATCCTGGTCGGCAGCCTCGATGTTTGCTTTTAATTTCTCTCTTGCCGCTTCTTTTGCCTTTGGTTTTTAATGTGTCCGGGTGATTAGAGCGACTGCATCCCGACCAATCCTGACCAAGGCTATTTGCATGACTCATATGGCCTGGCCTCGGCAATTTCCTGCTCCAATGACTAATGAAAATGGTGAAAAGATTTAAATTTACCGCACTGGGAGATAAGGACACACAAAAGGCACTTTCCTTTTGCTTTCTTGGGGATCTTATATGTATGCCCGAGCTCCGCAAATAAAATGCTCAGCTTGGGCATGGGGACTTATGCAAGCAAATAATTTCGATTTAAATCGATTTAAAATGGAAACGAATGAGTGTACACACGCATTGGAAATGTGTTTTATGCAAAAGCACATATAGATTGTTTGCGAAGAGGAAACATTTATTCGTAGATATATTTTGCAATTCTAATGCTTTAAATTAATTATTCAATTCGGGTAATACAATGTTTTGTTCATTTAATATTAAAATATGTTATAAAATTATTAGGAAGTCTATGTATAGAACGATTAATATTTTATATGTTTTTATAAATTTATTTGTACTTTAAAGGGTTTTGGATTTGAATCCCCATATATTTAAATTTCCGTTTGAAAATGTACTAAAAGTTAAGATCATATATCTAATTATCGATAATCTGAAAATTGCGTCTTCACTTAAAGGTTTGTGTCACTGCTAACGTTTAGTTTGGTGCTGAACCAATAATTGATCTCTCAGCTGTTGCGAACAGCTGATCAAATTCGCGCGCTTTTCATGCAATAAGCATTGTGAAAATTTGTTTGTTTATATCGCGCAGTAAAATAATTGTTTATTGGTGTAAAAATAGAGTGATTAGTGCATTTCGAGATGTCTGTCTTGCTGGCGGACATTGATGCCACGTGTGCGGCGTTGGGCTACAGCGATGGCCAGAAATATCAGGCGGAACCCGATGCAGCCGAGGGTCTCAAGGTAATTCTTCCTTTTATTTACCCATATCCCCTTATATCTATCGCTTTTCTGGCCTTCCAGCACCTGATTTGGATCCTACGTCGGGATCTGGACAACCACGAGTATCGCCGCCATTTGGGTCGCTCCAAGGTGCTCCAAACGGATTTGGTTTACATGCTGCCGGATTATGTGCACCACGAGGAGCTATCCGACTTGCTGATCCGCCTGCTGGTCATCCTGACCAACCCCACGCTGCTGCTCTACAGGGAGGGTGCTCCCAAGGACAACCATGGCCGCAAGGTGTTCATGGAGCTCATCGACATCCTGCAGGGCTACAAGGCAGCCTTTGCCCGGGACAAAATCTGGAGCTCCCTGTTCGAGAAGCTCAAGCAGGCGCTGGAAATAGTGAGTATTAGTTGTAGGATATACACACAAGTAAACTCCACTTCACAAGAGACGCGACCAAAATCATGGAGCAGGTTTTATTGGAAGACAATTCTAAACAAAGGGGCAGCAGTGATAGTGAGGAGCTTTTGAGGGATTCAGCGAACTATTTCACCTGCCTGATTTGCATGCGCATCGCCCGCACGCCCCGCGTGAGCTTCTGTGGCCACCACTTCTGCGCCTGGTGCATCCGCAACTGGATGAAGACAAAGGGTGCCAAGGCCAAGTGCCCCTATTGTCTATCCAGGATCGGCGAGAATACCCTCATCACCGTTCGGCATTCGAAGTCATTGGAACGCTCGGTCTCGTGCCGCACCATCGACGAGCATCGACGTCGGATGCTCATGAGCGGCGATTACATCAGGGAACTGGCCATTTTACCCGAGGCGGGCATGTTCCTGCGCGGCTACATCGAATATCCGCCAACACCGATGCCCAGGATCAAGCCCCTGCCGCCCCAGATGCTCCGTCAGGTGTCCCTGAATCCCACCCGGCGACATTTCCTCAGCCCCACGGTCTTCCAGCGCGGGATTACCTTCATCATCGTGCTGTTCCTATTCGTCATTTACCAGAATACCACTTAGCGTTGGCTTTATTGGTTTTAAACCTTCCAAATTCAAAATGCGATGATGCTGAATTTATATTTTTTCAGTTCTGTCAAATGTTGGAATAGACAATTTTCGAAGATTCGTGGTTAATTAGGAACAATGCCAGAAATAAGATCAGAAATATATATATTTAATGATATCTGCTTAAACCTCTTATTCCGTGAATAACAATTATTTTTATTTCGAAGCTTTTATTAGCTGGTTTTTCATCCCTAAAAATTTGACTCATCTTTATAAATGGACCCACCCACTCTTTAACCGAACTCCTGTTCTAAAGCCCAGGCAATTATCGTTCGGGCATTTGTGCAACTATTCCCGTAATCTTTTTAATCTATGTATTAATGGGCAAGCGGGTACGCAAAACTTTTAATGGCCCTTGCAGCTGCCAGCAGTCAAGTTTTCGTGGGGAGAGAAAATGTTTTTCACATTGCTCATCCCACTTGAAGTTTGTTTTGGCCAGATCTGGCTTTATGACTCAGCTCGTCTCCTTTGTGGGTTCATAACTAATTTGAACTTCATATCTACTCGCTTTTATCTTCTTTATTTGTACCCTGCACCCTTTTTTCTTTTATTCTTTCAAGTTGTGCTGCTTAAGTGTAGTTCTCCTCTCCTCTTCCTTTGTGAGCTCTGAAATCCAAAAATGGAATTTAATTTAAAATATCTCTCAATATGAAATCAAATCTCCAAAGGGTTCCGGCCTTTTACTCGACGTTCAACACAAGAAACAGCCGCAACAAGTCGATTTAATCAACACCCACGACAAGTTTGCGGTTGGGGAGCTTTTTCGGTGGTGCCAATGACTACAAGGCACCTTCAAATCAAACGCGTCACAGTTGGGGACAGGAATTTCATTCCGGCCTAGACGATTTCTCAAAAAAAATCGTTCGTCAGCAAGGCCGCCCAAAAAAAAGCTAAACCAAAACGAAATGAATTGAACCAACATCGGTGGGTCGAGACATTGTCGAAACCACAAAGGCAAAAGCCCGGTAACATTGATTGTCATTCGGTGGGAGGTTGTGCAGGGAGCAGTCTGCGTTTTTCAAATGGTTTCAATTGCTAGTGGTTAGATTAAAAAACGTTACCAAGGACCTGAATACCCTTAAAAATTTCTTGAATAGGCATTTCGTTCTTGTTTTGAGGATCTAATCATTTACAAAATTTATTGAATAATCTTCTAGTTTTTAAAGAAGGAAATCCCCTAATGAACTACCTGTTTTAGTAAAGTTTTTCCAATTCTTTAGATTTATCTTTTTAAAAACTACTTTTATTTATTGCTAAGAGTCTCAAAATTTAATTAAAAAAAAAATTTACAAGATCCTTTAAGGGTATTTGGGAACATGTTCCTCCCAGCAGCATAAAATTAGAAGCGGATGGTTAGAACAAAATATTCCACATATAAACCGAAATAGTAGATTTTTTTTGCATGAGCTCCGACTGGATAGCCATAAATATCTAATTGAAAATTTACATTGAGTAGAAAAGTTGTTTGTTTGTGGGTTTCAACTATTTTCCCCAGCGACCAACACAAACCAAACGGAGGATAGATGCTCCTAACAATTATCATAAGTTAAACCCTGGTAACCGGAAAGTAAAAACGTAAATCTCAAAGATGAGAGAGCGAAGCCATCCGCCAAAGTTCCTGGTCTCCACAACCAACCACCGCCTAACACAACGAAATAAATTCATTTAAAGCCGATTGAATCGACATTCATAACACTCCGGGGAGCAATTCCAAAGGATTTTCATGGCACTGCGTTGCCAAAGAGTCGCCCCAGGATTTCTTTACATTTCCATTTTTTAGGGAGCTCTTTTCCGTTTATTTGTGCCGTTTTCCTCGGTTTTCCGCTTTTTTTTGTTAGGTTAAATGCAGGCGAATTTCTATATGGACGCTGTCTATTTGTTCTTGTTGCTGTGTGGCTGTTGTCGTTGATAATGAATGTGTACGAGGATTTTTCCGCTGTTGCCTCTAGCGGAGCCACTCCTCCTCCTAGTTAGTGCACGGTAAAAAATAATAAATGATAACTATAAATTATTTATAAAAATTCTTGCGCTCTTGGCGTTACTAAAATTTTAAAATATTTTTTGAACATAATAAACTTTAGTTCGCCTTTTATTCTTATTTTAAATGAAAGCTAGCGAGAATACAAATGAATAATATACAAGCACATATATAGGTTGATATATACATTGTTTTAAGAACATTGAATTTGTAGAAAAAAATGAAAAGCATTTAAGCATAACTTGTATTGTTTAAAGTAGTAAAAATTTAAAACTTGAAATATTTTATTAAAAAATAGCATATCTAGACAACATATTTATGCACACATATTTGTCACACATATCGATTCCTTAATTTTTATTTATCTATTAAATTATTATATAATTTATAATTCAGTAGAATTATCCCTAGTGTATCGTTGCCGCTGACTTTTTATGCTTTACTTCTTTATTTGCGTCGCGCCGACTTACACGCTTTGATGTATGCGCGGCAAGCAGCCAAGTGGACAGGCGGGAATAGAAGGAACTCCTCTGCCCTTTCCTCCACTTTCTCCGATCCGAAGGAAAGCTTTCAGTTTTGAATGAGCCGCCGCCCCCCGGCTCTTGGTGTTGCTGTTGTTGTTTTTGTTGTTGTTGCGTAGGGAAACCAAAAACGGAAGTCATTATTAACTTTGCCTTTGAGATGGGCTCTCGGGGTCCTGAGGTCTGGAGCCCCGAGTTCCCTGGCACATGGGCGGAGCGGAGTGGATGTGGACGTGGGTGTGGGTGTCCATGTCCGGGCGGAGGAGTCACAGCTGGCTTGTAGGCACAAAAGCCGCATTAGTTGTATTTATTTTTAAGCTCACAGCAGCAACTGTAATGTCCTGCTGCGCCCCTGGAACCCCGAACCCGGAACCGCCCAACCCTAACCCTGGAGCCCATCCACCCACATTTTTTGCCACCCCAAAGGCCACCACCCAGGCATTTCCTCTTATCGCCCACACCATTCTCAAATTGATTTCAACTTGACTTTGTTGTGGTCCCATCGCTTGTCTTCCTCTGAGTCGGGGCTTCCGTTTTACAGTCGAGCTACATAAATTTGCAATTTAATTTAATTTAATTTCATTTGATTATTTTTACTTGACTCGCGGGATTTGGTGCTTAGATTTTTACACAGGGATTTGCTACAGCATTTTATTACACTGACATCTAATGGCACGCCTTGATGCTTTCTTTCCAGGCCTTTGCCATTCGCAGCGAGGAACAGAATCTGCTGATTGAACGCATCCTGGTCCTGGTGCGGAATGTCCTGCAGGTGCCAGCAAATCCGGAGGCCGAGTGCCGGGCGGACAACGATGCCAGTCTCCACGATCAGGTCATTTGGGCATTGCACCAAACTGGAATGTTGGATCTGGTGCTATTTGTGATCTCCTCGCCGGATGAGGAGCAGTTCCATCTCCACGGACTGGAGATTGTGTGCCTGCTTTTTAGGGAACAGGTAATATAATTATTATCTCAAAAATGTTGTAAAAAATATTTGAAAATATCATTTAAATTCCCAAAAAAATATGAAATGCTAAAATAATTCGCTCAATGATTTTTTATATATTTTTTATAAATTCTCTAATTAAGTTTATATAATTTCAGAGTGCCGAATCCCTAGCGGATGCCTCCCTGCAGCGCAGTCTCAGCGAGAAGCAGCGGGATCAGCAGGAACTTCTGGCGGCACGTCGCCGGGAGCGAGCCCGCCGTCAGGCTCGTCCGCCGCCGGGTCGTCACTCGCGCTTCGGCGGCACCTACGTCATCCGGAACATGAAATCCGTCTCCGATCGGGACGTTATATGCCACCAGGCCCTGGAGCGCGTTACATCGATCGACTTTGACCGGGAGAAGGAGCACCAGAAGCGCTCGCATCGCCACGTCCAGGAGGAGGCGCAGGTGACCCGCCGCAGTGCGTTCACCGTGAGGTGAGTCACGGGTTCATCGTATCCCCTTAGCCATATCCATTTGTCTGTGGCCACTTCCTGCACTTTGGCTCTGGGCACCGGGCCGAGTGCCTATTGTGCGGCTGCTGGTGTGGCCATTAGCATCGGAATTGTTATGGCCACCAACCAACGACTGCGGGCCACATCCCGGCCATTGATTTTCGATTTTACGCTGCCAGGACAGCCGTATCCGAGAGATTGAACCGGAGCGAGTGAGCAGCCGAGCGAGCGTATAAAATAATATTCAATAATAAATTAAGCCATTTCCTTTTGGCCCTTTCGGTTTCCCGCCCCTCCCAAGTGCCTGTAATTCCTGCTGTTTTATAGAATCGCACAAACGATATTGGCTGCTAGGGGCGCCCAGGCTCTCGGGTTCCGCCTGACTTGGCCGGGCTAAACAATATCTTGGCGCCGAGCGCCTCTGTCGCCGCTCCCCCTAATGGCCACCAGGTGCAGCTATTTTATGCTCCTCCGCTAACCAACAAACTACTTAAAGGATCTGCCTCCTCGCCCGCAGACCAAGATGCTCGGGATGCCGCTATCGGGGCCTTCTCGAACAGTTACAGTAAATGCATTCGCCGCGGTCTTGGCTTTCTTTTTGGTTACAGAAAAATATACCCTATCTTATGTTTTCATAAAAGGTGTGGCTCTAAAATGAGGCAGCTTTAGGTGTATAAAATTATTAATAGAACCAAGAAAATACAATTATAAGTACATTTTTATCCGCTTATTGATTCCCAATAAGTAGCTTTATGCTTTCAGGCCAATTATTAGAATTCTAAAGGGCTTCAACTTAAAAATATTAACTGCTTTTATTATTTTACTTGTTCAATGTTAAATATTTATTTTTTTTTAATATTTTCCAAATATTTCTTCTCAACCCTTTAGAGCATTTGTAGTTCGCCTGCGATAAGCTGGACTCTTCCTCAATTTGTGGCATGGAGCATAAAAACCCGTGCAGAGATAAAACTGCAGCAGCAACTTGGCGGCGCCATCGGCATTTTCTGCATCGCCATTGCCATCGGCATCGACTTTGGGATCTCTGGCCGGCGAGGATTGGGATTTTCAAGTAAAATCCTCAAAAGGTTTTTTCTCCCATTTGCCGCTGCGATTTCGAAACGGGCTGGCAACATTTTTGCTTGTTAGTCGGCCAGTGGTTGGCCTGGTTTATGGGCCAAGATGCTTAGCCCCGTCGGTTGGCCAAATCTTTAGGCGCCCATAAATTGATGGAGCTGAACAAATGTGACCGGGGCGACGCCGGTGGCTGTGATTAGACAACTCCAAATGTCCCAGTTGCAGACCGCAAACGAATGGCCAAGTCAGAGGGCCGTCGAGGCACGTAGGCGGAAAAGGCGAAAGTTCATCAATGTCACGTGCTGGAGCACCGAGCACCGTGCGCCCCAACAATTTGTTAGCCAACCACAAGTGCATGTTGCAATAAGCCGACCAAGGGGGCAAGCCATTTTTTTCCTCTGTTTCGCCTCCTTTTTTGGCATAAATTAATCCGCGTCGGCATCGATGCGTTGGATTTGTGTTTCGCCTGCCGGCAGAGATTGCTCTCTCCGCTCGAAAGGATTGGGGTTGGGTTGGCTGGTTGGCTGACTGCATCTTTTAGCCAGCTTTGCACAAATAAATTGGCCAGGCGAAATTTATTGCATCAGCGCTGCCAAATGCCGTTGCACCGTCCGCATTTGTTATATAAACTGATAGAGGGCGTTCGCTTTCAATCAATATTATTGTGGTATAACCATTTTTCATGTCTTTCGCCCCCCTCTTAGCCCCTCTTTCAGCTTTTAGCTTTTGGATTTTTCTCACATTTTTTCCGTACTTTTCCTGGCTTTGGCAGATTGTGCCTGCGCGAATACTGCATCGAGGTGCTGCGCTCCGCTTACAACACGCTGGTGAGGCAGGTGCGTCGAGTCCTGGAACGCAACGCCGGCTCGTCGAGTCACGATGACTCCTATCTATTGTGGGCCATACGATTTTTCATGGAGTTCAATCGTTTGAGTGGTCTACAATTGCAGTTAGTCAGGTGAGTGCCGTTCAAGTGGGTCTGCAACAGAGCTGCGTATTTTAACGAACGAATGCAGCCGACAACAAAAGTAAAAGTAGCTGTGGTTTTTCACCTAAAAATTCCACAATTGTTTTAAGTTTTTAATTCGTAATCTATATAAGTAGATTTAGCGGTAAGGTATACATTTAAAATTTGAGAAAAAATCACCACAAAGAGAGAGAAAAATTGTTTAAATTTTTTTTTTGAATATTATTTTGTTCTGACCTTTTATTTATATAATTTAGTACTCGAATTTAATTTAATCAAACGGAAAATTCTCTTAGGTTTAGAGATATTTTAGCATCACTCCGTATGATTTCCGTTGGCCAAATTCTATGTCTTGCCCCAAATATGCGACTGGTGGCCTAAAGTGTTCAAATTAATTGCCTACAAGTTTCAAAGGAGACCCAGACGAGTTTTCACAAGTGATATGATGATGATGCTGCTGATGAACGAGCTCCGCCTTCAATAGCTAATGAAACGTTGACCTCGTCCTCTGGCCAAGTCAGCAGATATGCAAATCCCGGGCACACAAGCTACTCTCTCAAACCGCCTCCATCAAGGCTTTTAATCAAATTACTTCGCAACACTCTTCAAATGATGGGAATTTCACCCAAACTTTTATTTCGGTGGCCACTCACTCACTTTGAACATTTTTGCTTGCAAAGAAGCCAAATCAAACTGGTGTTGGAATTTAAAACGCAAAAGCTAAAGCTAAAGCCATAGGATAAAAAATACGAAAAGTTAAGAAAGTGCTTACCTAATAAATTTATTTTATGCTTTAATAATTTAAATTGCAGCTTTGAAGAAATTAGGAAAGTTCCATACCCCAATTGCAAGTAGGATTACGCAAATTAATTATAGGATTAGTTTTTGATTTTACAGCTCAGCATTATTATTATTTTAGCAAATCGTTTTCAATGAGCGGTTTATGTTTCAAAATTGTCTATGCCGTTAATATTTTATAGTTTAATTTACTGTCTTCATTTAAAACTTTAAGAAAAGATTTTGTTTCACTCTCAGACACTTTCTGCAACCGCTTTCTATAAACTTAAAATTGATTTCGTTGAAATGTTTTCGCCAGCAAATAAGCTTCGAATACTTATTTGTTATCTGTCGAAAGGGCAATCCATCATCTGAACTGTTGAGGCGAGAAACGCAGGGACCACTTATGGGGGTATTTTCAATGGTTTCCATTTGCTAGTTTTCTTTCTCTTATTTTTTTTTATAACAAAGTGGAAAGTGCGCAGCAAATAAACTTTAGTATGATGACAATTTCCATTGGCAGTCGCACTTTTGCCTTTAGCACTTGCCACGAAAATGGTCAAGCAGAGTGTCAATGTGAAATGTGAAGCGACTCGCTTGCTTTTACCCCCAGAATATTTTGTGCGGTCACAACACAATTTGTATGTCATTCCTCGCTTGTTCGACATCCGCGCTTCGTCACTAGAGTTTTATTGCATTACTTTTTGGCAGCGGACAACAAACACATGCACAAATCAAAGTCATGACGCCAATTGTTTACCCACGGCACTTGGTCACTTTTCTGCTCAACCACTGCAAGGCTCCAGAATTCCACTTTGGACTGCACAACATGCCCCATAATATTCTTGGCCAAAGTTGTCAAACAAACCGTGTCGATACCGCGATTTTGGGGCACAGAAAACAATTACCTTATAAAATATATGATATTATGCATATTTAGGATTTTTTTTACATCTTTATTATTTTTTTGAGCAAATGACATTTATTAAAAATCTTGTATATTTATTTTTCTGTTCAAAAATATCAATTAAATTGTTTTATTTTATAAGGTATATTGTTCAGTGCGAAGAAAAATAATTGACAAAAGATCAGATTGATATGTGCTGGTCAAATTTATATTTTTTCAAAATCAAGTTATTCATGTCATTTTGATATGAATGAGGATTATGTTTATCTTATTTTACATTATTGGTTCAAAAAATACTAATTTGGGATTTTAAAGGATAAGATAAAATATCAAGTTAATAAGCTTAAATCATACATATGAAATATATCAAACGGGTTTTTATTGATATGATTTAAGGTAGAATTGATCCTATTTCATATCACATTATTTTTCTGTGATACTTTGCCCCTCGTCGGTATTTCTGATCTACTGTTGTTGTTTTCATTCTTGTCCAGCATGCTGTTAATAAAATTTTGCGTTCTTTATGTTGTCATCCGGCTGACGTTGCTCCTCCTCCTTCTCCGGATCCGTATCCGGCTCCCTTTTGGTCTCTTTCGGTGGCTCTGTGTGGTGGGAAATTTCTTTAAAATTGTTTTGGTTACTTTCAAATTAGTTTCTGAATGACAACAATGAAGCTTTGCAAAAATGTTGTCATTCCGTTGGCGCAAAGTTTTCCCAGACCCGTTTTTCGCCCTTTCCCGGTTGTAGGCGACTCCCTCGCACTATTCTAAGTTGGTTGCCTCTGCTTCTGCTTCTGCAGCTCCTGCTCCTGTTTTTCATTTTCAGCAATGTCCCTCTGCCTTTTATCAGACTTTTTAGTCTCATTTTTCTCTGGATATATATATAAAGTACGCATCTATGTATATATACTCGCCAACCATAAAACTTTCTGTTTATTTCCTCAAATGCAATTTGACGCTGGCCCCGCACCGCCCTGAACTTTCTTTATCGTCTGCCATTTTCTACTGATTTTGCACTATATAAAGCATGGCATTGCTGTAATGTATGGGCTTTCGGATGGGCAAACTTTTCCAACCAGCAGCCCGAAAAAAAAGTGAAATTGAGTTTGTCATTTTGTTTATGCGAGTACACGTACAATACATTGATACAGAAATCAATCGCTGAAGTCTGAGAGTGATCAGGTTTATGGAGAAAAACAAGGCTCACATATTCAATTGATGAAATCAATGGCGGTGCCCAAGTAAAATAAAAACAATCAAATATTGAGGCTCCCTAAAAAACTTTCAAGAACTTGTCGTATCAAAGGGATAAGAGCTTTACAAACTATTAAATATATTTGAATAAAAAGTATATCAGCAATTTTATGTTGCAAAGCACTTCTGCTCCTTAAAACTTGTATTTTGTTAGCTTGCTTCGTAAAAATGCTCCAGTAAAATCTCAATTAGTTTGCTTGCTTTTTACAAATTTGCGATAAAAGTTGCAGCATCAATCAAAGCGTTTTTCCGCTGGTTCCCTTTACCACATTATCGTGCTGCTGCTCATTGCACTTTTATTGATTTTATAATTTATTTATTTAGGTTCTTATTGCTGCCGCACATCTGTAATTAATTTGTTTTTAATGCCTCTTCAAACGCTCTCGACGTTGTCGCAAAACTTTAATGGTGGTCGCAGCCGACGTTGCGCTGCTAATTTAGCCAAGTTGCAGGCAAATGCTGCAGCCACCGGAAGTGGGTGGTTTAGTTTTGGGTGGCGCAGGAGGAAACGTGCGGCATGTCAACGCCCACTGGTCCCCGCTTCCTTGAAGGCGAAGGGGCGAGTGAAACTTAGGCTGGCTGGCGCTCAATTCTAGCGCTACTTAAAAATTAATTTTGTTAATGAGTTTTTCGCTGTGCGAGTTGCGAGTGGCAGACGGCGGCAAGCTGCTTACCTGTTTTTCTGCTCCTTGCTGCCAACTTTGGCCAACTTTAATGCAGAATTCAACTACTTAAATATGCACTCAAACACAACCATTTATACCATATATGATGAATCATCGTACACTTATAAATGAAAATCTGCTTATTACCTTGCCGTTAGAAGTATTATAATTTATATTATATAATAGTAGTAAGAAACAACTGTTTTTCCTTAATATTTTAATTATAACAATCTTTAAATATAAATAAAGATTTAGGTTATATTTAAAAAAATTCGGCTACAAGCAAGATATTTGTTTAATTCTTTATTATTTTATTAAAAATTAAATTTAAATATTTTTAAAATTGTTATTTACTTGAAGTATAATGCTACACATTTTATTTTAATTTTGTTTTAATATTCCTATCATAGTTTATAGTTTAAGTGTAAGTTTTTAAGTACTTTTTCTATATATAGGTTCATCTGAAATTTATCTGTCTGTATAAGCGAGTGTAACGCAACCGTGTTGGCTTTTTCCATTTCATTCGCAGCGAATCCTTGAGCGTGCAATGCTTCCACTGGGTCCTGACGCGCATGCAACATGACATGGACATGATTGTGAGCGACAAGAAACAGGCGCGTCTCTGGGCCAAGCGACTGCATGTAGCCCTTTTGGTAAGTCACTCCCGCAGCAACAGCATCTGCAGCTCCAGGTCAGGCCCCATCCTTCCATTTCGCCATCCTGATCCTGGTGGCCATCTAAGCCCCTCGTGTGAAGAGAGTGTGTGTGTGCGGGTCTGTTGTTGTTTGCCTTGGCGCTGTAAGTGCACTTTTGGGGGCACTCTGTTGCCGCTCGACGTTTGCCTTGGATTAAGCTTAAGGCCTGGTGCTCGGTACTCCGTTCCCAGTACTCAAGCCAAGCTCCACGCATCCTTTAATCCCGCCGGAATGACGGAGAAACTTCAAATGAACAGCGAGCTTTGCCGGGGATTAGCTAAAAATGCCTGGCACTCACGGTTTCTTTGCTTCGTTTGCTGAAGATATGAGCTTTTGTATCACGCCAATTAAATGACTAAGAAATGGCGTTACAAATATATTTGGATTATATTTAAGGAGATAGAATTTAAACTGTAAACCAAATTAAAGAAATGTTAAAATAATTATCCAAGGAACAGCTTCATTAACATTTATAAGACACAGTACCTAGTTCAAAGCCCAATCAATTTAGTTCACACCTAGGATACTTGGCCACAAGCAAGAAGGACCTCTTATAATTACTCACATGTGTGAAGTCTCCTTTTAATAGTCAGATCTAAGACTCATTACAATGCGACACACACGCACCACCGCTTTGCAATCAAGTGCTTGAACGTCTGCCAAGTTAATGCTTACCAATTTTTTAATTAAAGACATTCCGGGAATTGCTTCAAAGCCTGCTGGCACTGCAAAGGCTAAAGGATGACAACAACGCGATGGCCCTCTTCGATATGTTATTGAACAACGTCGGCTATGTCCTGGAGTATCGGGAGACGGTGCTGCATTTGTTAATGAACTACAATGAGGCGCACAGCACAAAGTGAGTACCCGAGCGAATAACCATTCCAACTATGCACATACATTCCGATTGAAAATAACTTGCCCTTCCGGCCATGCTAAAGCCCTCATCCCCATTGCCATTCCCATTATCATCCAACCAATTCCACATCCCGACCCGAATTTGGAAACCATCCCGGCCTGGCTGCATTTCTGATAGATAACGGAGGGCACGACCCCGTGGCATCCGCAAATAAGCAAGCCAAACACACATCCTCTAATGGGATTACTACGAGCACTCGATGTAGTTGCTCCCCACCGAAATATGCAGTGCCGGCTGTCAGGATATCGCCCTTTCTGCCAGGATCTCTAGCCCCGACAATCAGGCATTGTTTGTCTTGGCGGCATGCCTTTGTCTTGAGTCCTGCTCTGTTTGTTCGGCTATTTGCACAGATGTCTGCTGGGTCGCCAAAAGCATCCTATTAGAGCTGCCAAACTGGTGGTTTCCCTATTTCATTCTATCTAGACAACTCCATAGTGCTTAGGAACATTTTATATATATATTTATTTTTAATGCTTATATTTTTTTTCATTTCCTAATAGCTGCATAACTGAATGGTTTCACTTTTAAACGTAATTTTGTGAATAATATTGCTTTCAAAAGTTCTTTGGTTTTTAAATCAAACTTTTATAAATAATCCCATTTTTTATTTATTTATTTAGTATTTATTTAGCTATTTTAGGCCAACTTATACCCGGTATCACTAGCCTCAAAATAGGTTCGGTGAATGTGGTTTATATATGCGTGTGTTCCCCCAAAAGCTGGCATCGCTAAATGAACTAGTTGCACATTCCTCGCGAGGTGGGAATTGGGAGTTGGCTAGAAGTTTAATTGATTTAACAAGCATGTGTTGTACGCGTGCTCTGGCATAAAAATTATGCCATTTCGCACAAGCCAACCCAGTGTAGCTCAGAATATTTTTTAAGGGTAAATCGTGCACCTTGGCTGCATCCTAATTGCCAGGTTAACAGCGCGTTCTCCGCACGAAAGCTGAATCTGGATTATTTCAATCGAAGCGTGTGCCACACTGCGGGTACTTGATAAATCGCTGCAGAGCATTGAATATAGTGCAGAATCAACAGATTCAACTAGGATTTTCATGATTTACTCGCAGGTTTGCAGTATTTTACCTACATTACCTACATTTTATTGAGTTTATTGGGGTTATTGACACAGCAAACACCCATTTATTTTGAGCAATTGGATAGACATCAAATTATATCAGCGTATAGCGTGTTTTGCTCTTTAAAATGGCTCTGAAAAGAAAATAAATACATGGGTATTGGCAACCCTTTTCAAAGTGTCTCCCACTGCGCAATCCATTTGAATAATTGCAATTTTTTAGTGCCGAACATGAAGAGTTAGACTCACTTGAATATTTCTAAATGGCTGCACAAATTCGCCTGTCAAACAGACTCGACTCCGAGTGCTCTGTGTAGAGTGATACCTGCAATAAATGCCTGAAAATGTATTTCTGTGTCACAGATTCGATAAAGATATACCATGGGTCGATGAAGTTTGTAGGCTTGTCAGTCTGCATTCAATTAAATTATTTAAATCGTGCTTATAAGAACCTTTTATGCTGGCTTAAAAAGTTTCTAAAAAGCACACGTTTTTCTGCAAACGAAAAATAGATGAAATCAAAATTCTTTTTGAACCCTGAATTGTATTATTTATTATTTAATGCGTTCAACTGGGGTCTCAGATTTGTTTTGTGTATAAAACACTAAACAATTGACACAAAACTAAAAACAAACTTGCCCGAAAGCATTTTAAAATTTTTGATTAAATTGAATTATTAATGCGATGCTTTGCATTCTTTAATATGCCAATATGCAAATGTTTTTCACTAAAGTTTTAGATATTGGCATTTTAAAGCTTATTACTCTTATGTTGAAATTTCCTATACAAAGCATAAATTTAGACTCAGCTACTACATGATTTTAATAAGGCAAATATATTACAAAATTATTTATGTAGATCTTAAAGTATGAGATACAATTTCAAACACGTTCCACTGTATCAGATGACACATAAACAGATAAACAAATTGTTGTGTGCCTGTTGGGTTTTACTGTCGACTATCAACGCATCACATCAGCCAGTCGGACGGGCTCTAGTTAGTCTGTCTGAGGGTCTGTTAGTTGGGGCACTGGCAATTTCGAAGCTTTGACTAAATTAATTTAGCGCGCAAACATGAAATTGACAGAGGTTCGCAGGAGAGGGTGAGTCGGGTTCAGGAAGCTCGTTGCGATGCCAGATACAAAACGCATATATAGATACTACTCGCATGTAACTGCAGCTGTGGGATGTTGCTGGAACAGCAACTGTGCCTTAATTGGAGCATGATTAATGCGGAGCGAGTTGAAAATAGTTGGTTTATACAATTTAATCGATTAAACATTAAGTTGCGTCATCAGCGAGTTGAACAGCTTTCAATTAAGCAGGGCCAATCATGTAAATCCTGATGCCTTTTGAACGTGCAATCAGTGTTTTGAGTGTCTGACAGATTAAAGATTTTTCGGTGTCAAGATGAATAATTTATGATCCCGGCTAGCGGGCTCCATGCCACCTATCTGCCCACTATCACATTAATGCCTCCCATTTGGCAGACGATCTGGAGGCACTAAGCAGTGTTGTCTTGATTTTGGCGACCATTATGACTATGAATTTAAAAATGTTGATGGGATGTTTGTATTGAAATATAGTTTTATGCAAAATTATCATAACAAATTCAAGTAATTAAAAATAGTTTATTATGGAATACCTCTTAAATTATTTAAAAATTACCTAGTTAATTTTATCGAGTGTTTTAAAATTATATAAAATTGTATTGCTCTTAAACACTTTAGTAATTTTGTTTTTCACTTTTAAAAACCGCTGAAAATATCCTTTAAAAGGCTAAAACGACACCGCCAGCTCCGACCTGCAATCGACGGCCATCAGTCATTGTTGTTGTGGCTGTCATAATTAATAATATTTTCATTATAAACGTCTTATGCCAACAACAACCCGCAAATAGTCGGCTTGCCAGTGGGTGTCTGGGCGCAATTACATTTTATCATTTATTCAACATGCGCTCAAGCTCGGCGCGAAGACAATCCCCATCTCACGAATCTCAAGTAGCGATTCCCGATCCCCGACCCCTGACCTCCTCGAAACAAAGCCATGAACGCTGACCAACCCCAAAAACACCCAAGTGTTCTAATTAATTCTGTATGCTCAACCTGCTGCCACTTGAACTTCTTCTTCTCATTTTCCCTCGCATTTTGTGGCGGTTGGCGCCCATTTAATCAGCGTAAACGCGAATATCAAATCAGGCGCAACAACAACAACAACAAGAGCAATAGCAAAAGCAGCCAGAAGTTACAAAACCGCGTGCATACAAATTAATTATAAATAATTTATTAACGATTTATCTTTGTCCTGCTGCCAGGCTTCGTTGGTCACATGTGCTTGAGATTGAGTATGTGTACAGAGAGAAAAACAAAGGGATTTTACTAGAATTTTCAATGATTATAAAAATGATATTTTAGTTGTTTTCGAAATGCACTAAAAAAGTTAATGGAATTCGTGAATTTAAAAGCATGTTTTTTAAATGTGAGTTTTTCTTGGTCCAATACTCAAAACTTAGAAACGAAATCAAATCAAATTATGAGAAAATCGTGATGAAAGTTCAAAATTTACGATTTATTTATTAATTAATTTTAAAAATAAAATTTTGATGTGAAATTTAAACATTTTCTCTTTGTGCATAAGTGTAAATGGGAGCTGAAGTAATAGGTGGGGGTGACTCGATTTGCACCTGCGCATCATTAGGGCAGAGTAGGTGGGCAATCGATTTGGATCCGCTTGTAAAATGGTTTGTGGCATGCAATATGTTGTGCAACTATCAAACCGCCCACCCGCTTATCCGCTGCGGTTACTTGGCGTTGTGGTCAGGTGCCACCAGCATCCGCATCTGCAGCAGGACCACCGCCACCTCCATCTTCGTCTGCCAACAGTAGTGTTGCGCAGTTGCATAAATAGAAAAAAGCTAAAATACAAAGATTCCGAGAGAAAAATAATGAATAAAACCAATAATTACTATGGTTGTTAAGGGCATGGTAGATTTTAAGAATTCTTTAAACTCCGAATTGCCATATATTTTCAAGGCTTTAACGACTTAAAATTTTACATGCGGACGAGAAAACGGCTCTAAATATCTAAAAATATTTTGTCGAATTTTTGTTTTATAATTTTTTTGATAAGCTGCTCATTTTAGAAAGCCGTGTACATCTAGTCCACATCTATCGGTATATGATTTGTATTTTTCCTAGTTTTTTTTTTATTAAACAAAAATAGCTAGATTTACAGCCCTAGTTAATATTAGAAGCCATCATTGTCCGCAGCTACCAGCAGTTTTTGCACTACGCCTGCTGTTTATGCTGCCACCACGGACATCTTTGCGGTAACATCGCCGTCATCGTGGCTGCGCTTGATTCATTTCGCATTTCAGTTATCATCAAATGTGCACCACACAGCACCCGCAAACTAGACAGGAGCTCTGATATGGATACGGACTGGGGAGACAGGGACTCACACACATCCACATAGCACCACTCAAATTTCAAATCCACGTGCACCACACACCATTCCCATACCCATTCCCATGCCACATCGGTTGCGCCTTGCAGTCAACTGAGCCCTTTTATCATCAATTGCCAATGGCTCCAGACTCAACCTCCTGTCAGTTGTGGTCACTGCTGACAGTTCTTGATCAATACAAATGGTCAAATATCTTGGAATTGGCTGTTGAATGCGAATGCTAACTGGCTTCTATTCATCTGCTGCTTCATGCGGCTGCTCAATCTCGGGCTTGTTTAGCTCTATTATAGACGTGTAATTTATCGGACTCCTAATTGCATTGAATAATTCTGGTGGTTTTTCCAGGGGCTGAACTATGTATATGCTTTGAAGCTACTTTCTTCGGGTTTCTAAGATTTGTGATCACTTTTACTCGTTTTACATAGTCGTCTTCTAATTGTGACTAGTAATTTTAATTTCTCTAGATTCGAAAATCTATTCAAAGAATTTAAATTCAAGTTTAGGAGTAATGAATCCCAATTATTATTGACAATGGCAAAAACTGAACCCTCCCCCTCAGGAACCTAAACTGTAACTTTTGGGTCATCCACTAATCAGATTTGTCCATTAAAATGACATACATGAATGGGAAAAACATGCGTTTGATTTTTATTGGGTATTGCTAGAAATCCACACATTTGAATTATTTGCCTGTTTCATTTGGCTAAATGTCTATGCGTCTGGGCCATCGATTCCTGTTGGCCGGGTCACTGAATGCCGGATAACCACTTTCGTTACAAATTCATTTCCCCGGTCGCCTGCTCTTATGATCACCAGGCCAGCTGCGTTGTGGCACATTGACCGCATTCGAAAACGCCGATGATGTCGGAAGCTCCTGCAGCGCAGCTCACGCGGGGCATTAAAATTCGCAATGAATTTGCATAAATTTCGGCGCCAACGCAGCGACCTTTTTGGACATTTCGCCATTTTCATCGCCAACGCAATGTTGTCATTTTTATGGACCTGGGACCCGGCAATTAGAGTGGCGAATGCTGAACGACTTGAATATGGATTACTCCCACGAATGCTGATGAAAATATTTGAAAATCATGTTTAAAGTGGGGCTTCTGTATTTAGGGTACAACCGTTCATTTTCCACAAAAGGCTTGCTTTTTTATAGCATTTTTGTTAAATGGTATAATAAATAATTGGTATTTCAGAATTAATAAAGTATAACATTTTTAGGGATTCCATTCAGTAAAATGTTTCAACATTTATTTTTAGCCCTCCTAACCAAAACATTTAAAAACTGTTCTTCTTTTCATATCTATTTATGGGCTACTAATTCTAGCTTCCCATTACAGACTACCCACTTTGCATACTCGGCCTGTTTCGAATTGTCCTTTTCGGTGACTCGCGCGATTTTCATTATTCAAACGGCAATCAATCATTTTAACAAATTGACGTGCACAATGACGTTGGCTTTTATTTTTCGGGTTCGCGTTGGCTAAAAACAAAGCGGAAGTTAGCTCTGCATAGCGGCAGCTGAATTTGGCAGTTTGGCGGCTGTCTTCTGCCACGGTTTTTTGTTCCCTTTGTCGGTTGCCTTTTCACATTTTGAGGGTAATTTGCTAATTGGAGGCGTCATCGGCTTCGACAGCAAAGGCTGCGCCGCATCATCAGTCAGCCCGAATCGAGTTGGGTTAGTTAGTCAGTGATGATGGGGAATTTTCCTCGGGGCCGGTGAGTGGGCGGAAAGGCTATGGGCGGGGCAGGCTTTTGGCCCTTTTTTTAATGTACTCGATGATATTCAATAAATATTTTTGGGCCGGCCAAAAGGTTATTGATGTTCGACTTTGATTTATTCCAATGAAATTCTTCGAAAGAGAAGAAAATTGATAGAACATTTCCAAAGGAATTCCCTTTTATATAGATGGTAGAAAATTATTCGAGCGACGGACCTTTTTCTACATAATATACATAATATCTGTTCTAAAGTGTTCTCTTCGACTTGTGTGAATAACACATTTATATTTGCTGCAAAACTTTTATTCGACTTCGACTTATTCATATAAACTTTTGGCTGAATACTGAAATTTAATTAACATTTTGTCAAATAATTTTCATTTTCTGTTTGAAAATTAAAAACCCAGGTGTTAATCAGTTAAAACTAAAATATAAGTGTGCCGGCCCATTTAAATGTTGAGTCGATCTCGATATTGGACAGCGCACCTTTTTAATTACTGAGGGTGTAGAATGAACATAAATATTTATTTGTATATTGAATGCAACCCAATGAAATTGAGTTGAAAAAATTAAGCATTTGCCACATTTAATTGAATTTTGAGCAATGTGGCATGCATTTTTCATAAATATACGACGAGGCCAACAGGCAACAAATTCAATTTGGATACGTGTGCAGTGCACACATATAATAAAGAATTTAATTACAATATATTTTCATTTTGTTAACTAACCTCTACTCTCCAACTCCACAGGGTTTTTCTGCGCGATGTGGTGGAAACGGCCAACGTTTTCATTAAAATGATGGAGTGCTTCTGCCAGGACTCTGTGGTGGTGCAGGACAAAAGGCGAGGTGGTGGCGGTGGCCGAAAGAAGAAGCAGACGGCGACCAAGTCCAAACCGTCAACTATTCCACAACCCACTGAGGTAAGAGCCAAATTAGTTATATAACGGGACTGCTATTTTTCAAAGGTTTAAGTAACTATTAAAAATCAAATCTATCTACTTGCACCATCGAAATTTCTTGTCTAAAGGGAAATATTACAGCTTGCCCGATATACATAAACTCTGTTTAATGATTTTTAAAAATAAATGGCCGCATTAAATAACTTTATTTAACCCCGCTGGTCAGCACCCGCTGTGCAGGCCATAAAATATACCCTAAATTGCCAATAAAATTTAAAACGAATTGCAAGCCAAAGCAAAGAGAAAGCCCTACAGAAAAAACAATTGTCGTCTATTCTGTGACCGTTGAAGATTTATGTGCCTGATCGTGAAATTTAATTGACTGAAAATATGGAGGAAAACAGACCGAAAAAAAGTAGAAGTTTGGTTCAGCGACGGTTTTCAATTTTTATGACTGCGGCTTTTTTGTATTTTCTACTTCGTCTGCGTACTAGTTTAATGGTGGACAATTTCATGTGACCTTAGTTAACACTCCTGCTCACCACATTACTCTCACATTCGCGGAAATTGTGAAAAACTTTGCCCAGTGGGCCTTCCAAGCTTCCGCTGTTTTTACGCCCCTTTGACCCTTTTCAAAACGTTCTGTTCTGCGTTAAAGACCTGTTTGTTTTTATTTTTCAGTCATGCAGTTAGATTATAGTACTCTAACTGTTACTGCGCTACTTTACCATTCAAAATCTTTTAATTTCAAAAAGAACAACCCTAAAACACAATATAATAAAATGTGTTGATATTAAAACAAACAAAAAAATAATTTTCAACTTGTTAGAGTATTTTGAAGTCGCATATTTTGAAGTATCCCTAGAACCTTTTGTTTCCTAACCATCTTTTGTTTTTGCACACTTTGTCGCGTAGGGTAAGGGACGCACCGCTGAGCGTGATTTCCGGGCAGTAGCCACTGGCCTCTGGAGCTTTCCACAACTGTTTGCAACTGCAACCTGCGAGGGCTGGGCATTTTCCGACCATTTTTGTGGCCTCTGATTTAGCCCTTTTGGCCGGGAGGTGGTCGTCGGGCAAGGACATGAACATTTTTACAGGGATGCGGAGCCTGACGCGAACAAGATTAATTTTATTTTTTGCTGCTACCTTCAATTGTGTTAATTTTTGACATATTTATTTGTATAGTTGCGGTCGCGTTGCTGTGCTATTGTTTTTGGTCCACGCACATGCGTTCAGCGCATCAATTTTTCAACAATTAATTTATAAATATTTGTCCTTGCCGGCGAGCGAAAAACATGACAAACGCCACGAGGACACAAATATTTGCATGTTCCTCCCAGTTCAGCATGCAAAAAGTTAAACGGGCGTTAAAAAAAAGGATGGAATTGTGTAACGTGTAAAATAAGCAAACATCAAGTAAAACAAAAATTTCTGTTGAGGGACCCGATTTAAAGATACATTCAGATTGCCTTGATATACATGAGTGAAAAACATTTAATAGATAAACCTTAAAATGTTTAAATTTGTTTGAAATGTTAACTCTTTTTATTTTTAATCCGTATTAAATTGTTTGTTGCCTTTAAATAGTAATTTGCCCCGTTCCATTGACAATTTTAATGAAATAAAAATACGTTGCCATTATGTCCTTGTATTTAGAAGGATTTCTGCATTGATGTTCAATTAATTTGCATTGTTAACAGGTCGAAAAAGGCAAAAAAGCGAAAACAATTGTTTAAATGTGAATCGTTTTTTTTGCAAAGAGTAATGCAATCATCAAATTTAAAATTCATACATACCTCAGATGTTGATTTAATACAATGTAATTACAAAAAAATGTATAGTACTTTAATAAATTAAATATTCATTAATGATAGAAAAGTAACGTTGCTTCCTATTGAATGTGTTTTATATTCCCAAATATCATACCCGCAAAAAGGCAAAAATGTTTACTATGAACCGATGTCAAAATTCTTATAAGTCAAAAGCATAGGTACGTTAGTTATTTCACAAAACAGAATTTCAATTATAAAAACTCTTTTATTGGCTTTTTACCTCCAACCGAATATATTTATTTCATTGGATTTATTTTATTGGTTTTTTTTTCCCTGTCACTTGCAAATGCCTGACAAGTATTATTAGATATTTGGTTATAATTACCAATGGCTATGGTATAATTAATTCTGCTGCTTTCATATTTACGTAACGACTAATTTCCCTCTGTGATTATCCAATTGCAAACAATGGCGAACCATAAATAATTTATTACTGCATAATTGCAGGAAGAATTGTCGAGCAAATGGGCTGAACTGGCAACGGAAGTGTGCAGCCTGCTGGCTACAGAATTGGAAATGCCGGAGGATGAGCAGCCGATGCCCTTTGACGCCGCATCCGAGAAATCCATCGATGATCAGCGGTGAGTTAGCTGCAACTATTCCTATTTTTTCTTTTATTTTACCTTCCCGAACAACCCATTATTATTATAACGTGCAGAGCCAGTTCGATTTCCCATTGTATAACGTGTTCTTATTATGTTCCATCGTCTTTCTCTACTTTCAGCGAGGATTGCATGATTCGCATAAATAAACTGCTGCGTTCCGAGAAAGTGGACCAGGCCATCGCCCTTCTTCGGGCTGCCAGGTGAGTTTTTAAAAATGCCATTGGCTGGTCTCTGAACCCTGTTGTTAGGGCTCAAGACGTAATCCCTTTGAAAATCCCCCTCTTTAATAACTTGACATTGACTGCAAAACAGAAAAGGTACGAAAGCAATTCGCAAAATAAATTAACTCTAGTCGAAACGGGAAAAAATCCGCTTGGTTCGCGTCCTTTTGCGCGACTTTCCTGGCTTTTATCGAATTTTATTTTCTTCCTGTTTATTTTTCATATTTTTTCTCCCTGCCACGAAGCCTTTTGCTGCTCTGCACTGCCCTCAAATTAAATAGTTTTTATTTATTGTTAAGGCAGAGCACGCTGGCTGGCTGGCACCCCGGTAACTACAGATAATGGCAGTGCCGGAATTCCTTGTCCTTGCTCTCCTTTTTTCCCCAGATAATAAGAGTCGGCGGCGGTGCCCTGCATTTCAGGCAGACAATTTCTCGGTGCCCAGGTTTTGTCCCAGTCGCCTGCAATTTTTCAGTCAACAAACCACAGAGTCGGCCAGGTGCGAGATGGTGGAGCAACCAGGTCAGAGGAGCTCCAGTGGATGTGCTGCTCGTCTTTCAATTTAATTGCCCGCTCAATTATGTAAAGCCCATTGAAGACGCGCTCAAGAAATGTTTATTGTTTGCTCGGGAAAATTGCGTGAAAATAATTTATCTTTTGCGCGTCAACATTTAAATAAGGCCGACACCCGCACTCGCCTTCGCACACAGAAACATCGGCAGATGTCGCCGAGTGTCAAAGGCTGCTTGTGCCGGAGCAATCGAAAACGTGGCTTAAATATTTCCAAGTCATTTAATTACAACCTCATTAAAATTTTCCACCTGCTGCCTGCCTGTTGGTTCTGGTCGGAGGATTCGTCTCAAAGGAATCCAATCGATGGCATCTGCAAATAGGAGACCGTGTTGCTGGAGGCTCCAGTGCCCTCTGTGTAAATTGATTGGATGTACTGGGAGAAAGTGTTTGCCAGTGTGAAGCCCACCGCCTCCATCATGTACATGCTTCCTCGAAATTTATGTACATTTTAATTGTTGCCAGCGAAAATTGTTGCATTAAAATGAATACAATTTTTGCTTGCCACTCCGCTGCTGCTGCTGCTGCTACTGCAGTGGTAGCTTAAAAAGGTCTAGACGCTTTTTGTGCTAATAAATTAAAATGCGATATGCATATAGAGCAGTCCCGAAGCTTGCACCCACGCCCCCGGGACCCCCTCCTTTGTCTGGCCATTGTCTGGGACTTTTTTGTGCCCCGTTGCCTAGCACTTTTTGTCCTGGGGCTACACTCACTTTATTTTCCATACCCTAAGGAAGAGTCCAACTAACTTGCCTTTTTATTTCAAAAGAAGCGGTGTTATAGTTATTATATTCTTATGGCTTTCCGGGCTCTAATATCAACATTGTTCCAATATTAAATTTGATATTTTTGTAAAGCTCTTTGAAATGAAAATATAACATGCATAAATATATTTTTCAGGGTATATAATATACTTTATTTGTCTCTGCGTTATTTTCTATCTGCTGGCAATGAGAGCGTTTTTTGGGTAAGGAAAATATTGAAAATAAACTGGAGTTTGTGGGCACAACACACATTCGTAAATTTGAGTCTGGTCTGGCATGTAAGTGCATTGAGGATGATGTGTGGGGGGTATGTGTGTGTCTGTCCAGAATTTTTAAATACTTGCCAAGTCACACTATTAGGGGTTTTTCATTTAAGTTGAGCGAAAGGGAAAAAATAAAATTGGTAGCGTTGCTGGTTTTTCCCTCTGCTACTGCTGCTGCTTTTGCTTTAGCTTTCTCCGACGTTGGCTTAATGGGTGCCCAGAAATATGTGCTTGGAAAAAACAAACTTTTAAGTGAAGTAAATGCGCAAAATGTTTATTCAAACTTCACTTTGGCTGCAACTTTTAGTTCCTCTCCCACCATTCCGCTCCTCCCACTTTGGCCGCCTTTTAACTGAGCTTATTTAAGCGTCTGCTGATGCGCTTATTTAGCATAGCAACGGCTTTCGCCTTTGCACATCTCTTGTTGATTTTGTTGACTGGAAATATTTAGCATTTGCAGCTTTTAAGCAAGTGTTCGCTTCGCGTTTGCCCATTTCAACAAACGTTCATTACTGATGCAAATAAACCATCTCAAGTTTAGAAAATCCAAAGCCAAAAAACAGGTTTAATGTATGTGATTTTAATATGCCCCTTTTGGTTTCTTACACCTCAATCAATTGTGTATATTAATATTGCTATAGCATTAATTTAAAATGCAATTTAGAAAATGAAAATTGCCTTTTCTAAAAATGTTTTGCCTATGCTTTTAATCACCTTAATGCAATTGCTGTGCTATCTATTTTTAATTGTTTGTCAGAGGACATTTTACTCTCCTAATATCCAAAATTAAATTTGGTTTCAGTGAGAAGCGCAGAAAATTTTTAAACATTTTATTACGGGCGTTATTATAAACTTAATCATAGAATTTGTGTTAAAAACACCTGGAATTTGAGCTCACATAATCCAGCATTGGTCACCATATCGATTCATAATTAATCCAGTTTCGTTCAATGTGATTAAAAATGTTTAGCCTTGCTCCGCGAATTTACCCCGCTCGTTTTTTTGCATTGCAATAAATAGTTTATCTGCCGGCCGTGCAGCCAAACAATATTGAATATAATCGAACTAAAAAGCCAAAAGCCCCAGACCGCTAGCCCCGTTGGTTTTCATAGATTTTTCATGGTCCATAATTAACCAATATTCGCCCCGCCGACCAGTATGGTGGCATACTAAAAACCGCTAATTATCGCCAGGCAGCATCGCTGTAAAAGTTGTACGCAAAATATGTCGCATAACTTTTAAATGAGCGCAGGCAAATGTTGACGCTAACCGAAAAGCGAAAAATTCTGTCCATTCCATGGATGATGCTGGTGTGTTGCACATTGTCGTATCCTGCTGGTGGTAACTAACGAGCTCCGAAAATGAGACCCGCAGGATTACAAGGGAGAGCACATAGCGTATGCAGGACACAATGTGCAGGGGGCGTGGCCATGGGCATGTCAGTCAATTTATTGGCTGGGCGACAGCGGGAAACATAAGTTGCACTATCGCCTACTAGCATGGCCACAAATAAGCATAAATATGTCGCTTAGAGGGACTTACTCCATATTCCCTCCTGCCTGGCTTGCCTGCCAGCCACTGATATGGCCAAGAACATCGCGCTTTGAACTGGCACAGCGGGCAAGGCCGTTCTACGGCACTGAAACACAAATATGGCAGCTTTTGGCACTTGAAGAAATAAGTGTTGGAATTTAGTATGAGTTTTTTGGAGTCCAAATTATTATATTGAAACCATGCGCTAATCCATGGTATGGGATATGGGGTATAAATCCCCCTCACTCGGGTGAAAAATGAATGAAAATAATAATCATTTTATTCTTAGACATTTTAGTAAATTGTATTCATTTGGTTATATTTATGTAATATTACGGCAAACCAATACTTAAACTATTTTTTAACCTTTTCTTATTTTAAATGTATTTAAAACTATAGGTATTAAAAATATTCATAATAGAATTAAAATAAACATGCAAAATATTATAAATCTATAGTGTATCGCAAGCACCCACACTTCCTCTATCTCTTCCTCTCCATTCTTTGTTTCATCTCTTTCTCGTTACGTTTTTGCTGTGCGTTGCATATTAAGCTGCTTTCAAATATTAAATTAACAGCGGCAACGTTGCGAAAAGCCTGCAGCGTTGCATCATCAGAGAGCGGTGGGGATTATATTGTGTGGGGGGTTGGGTTCCAAAAAGGGAATGAAGGAAAGCAGGACACACACAACATCTGAAATGTTGGCCAAGAAGAACGGGGTGTGTATTGTATACTGACGCAATTTTAAACGCATCAATTTCAGTTTGGCAGGGCTAAAAGCGCACCGATTTTTGCAGCATGATGTGGTTGAGCGCTTGTTATTTCAGTTACTTTTTTCTTTTGGTTACCAATGCGATGTAGATGGAAATAATGTTTTCTGTGAGCCTATTGAAAGAGTTATGCTTGTTGAATTTAGGGGGAATTTTCGTCTAAATCGAACTATTTTATTAGGCTGCCAGTATTAGGTTTTGTCTATGTTTCCAATGGAGAATTAAATGGAAATTCGGCATTTACATGACGTTTTATGTGTTGGCTTATTGGTTGGCTCAATAAATGAAATAACTGAATAACTGCTAATCAAAGCGAAAACAGGGCGAATGAATGGCAAGCCCCATAATTCCGTGTAATCAAAACTTGGTTGCCTCTGCATTCCATGCAAAATAAGGAATAATCTTCAGGAAATTTATGGCATGAGTTTATATTTTTGATCCATAAACAAGCTTTGTGTTTTAGGAAAAACATTTGCTTAATTTTGAAGCCAAAAGCTAGCAGTATCTGTTTGTAGAAATAAAAAAATATTTAAATGATTGCATGAACATAATGAACATAAGAAAATATATTAAAGTTGAGAGCCCCAATTCGAGTTGCTATGAGAAAATTTTTCAAATCGGACCAATCAAACTTATGACCAAATAATGAAATTCCAGCAGTGCAAGCAGTCAACACTTCCATTAGCTCTTGTTTTATTTATATTAGTTATGGTAAAGGCATATCCTGGTTGATAATTCAATTTCCTCTCTACTTTTAAGCTTTAACTTTAATGGTATATATTTTTCTGCTTTTATTCTAACGCATCCCCTTTGTGTTTTTATATTCCACAGGGAAGTTTGGCCGGAGAACGAAGTGTTCGGTGCAATTTCCGCTGCACCGGAAGACGAGCTGCTGCTCCTGCGTGAGATTTTCATGTCCAACATTACAACAGGTGAGTGGAAAAAAGCGACTGGGTGAGGGAGTGAAAAAAATAGTGGCGGAGGTGCGGTAAAAAAGAGGACAAGTCCACCCATTTGCTGCACGGCATTTTAATTATTGTTTATTACTATACATTATGGAGGAGCGTGTTCGCACAAGCTTCGCCTGACCGTTGCTTTAATTAAAAATGAAAATCTGCCACTTGGCTTTTGCGTGTCATTTATCTTGCGCTGTCTGATTCCCTGACCTGCGTCCCTCGTCCTTCGTCCTTGCTGCTGCCTCTCGCAGTCCTGGACAGTTGGGGCCACTTCCGGTGCAGCATTTTGCATCTCCACTCTATAAATTTGCTAGCTGAAATAAGCCAAATTATAGCGCAACTTTCAGCTCTCGCTGTCTGTCGGTGTGTGTGTGAATGTCCTTGTTGCATTGTCTAAGTTTTTGCAGGCCCCGTTTGGCTTTTTGCCTTCTGGCCAAGAAGCCCCGTCCTTCGGTCCGCCGAAGTTCGCTTAACAAATTATCCAACAGAAATTCTTGCGCTTCATTAAAAGTAAAAAATGAGGCAGCAAAGGACGAGCATTGCCACTCCCTTTATCCCTGATCCCTTATTCCTATACATATTTCCTTCGCTGTTTTTCTGGCAGCGCTTCGCCTTGCCGGACTAAATGAAAATATATTAAACGCGTAATTGTTCTATTTTTTTTTTGTTTTCCCATCCTGCCAAGTGCATTGGTTTGTGAAATTCCTGTTGTTTGGATTCGTTCAATTTGAAAGTCAGCGGAGCGTTGACAATTCGCTGCCGTCGCTCTGAATATTTTGTTGATTTTTGACATGACTTTTCAATTTGCCCTCAGAGCACCTGAAATGCAAAAGCCCCGCGATTTTGCTTAGACATGTCTAATGGCTTTTCGGTTTTTGACAAGCTTTCCATAAGTTGCATTTTTGACTCTTTACCTTTTCTATATATATATACCCACATTTGTGTATCTTATCGTCTCGGTGCAGTTTTGAGTTTCTGTGCATTTTGCTTCGCAGAATTTGAAAGCAGCGGTAGCACGGATAAGTTTTTGACAAGCGCTTTAAAGCGCATCCATGGCTGACACTTTTTTTTTATGTCTTTTAATGAAATATATACCATACAATACAAAGACGCCAAAGATGTCGCTGCCAACGGAAAACTTTTCGACTGCGCCGTGCAGTTAATCGGGATTTTTGTGTGCGAAAATTTATGATTTCCGCCGTAGAAGCAAACTTATATCATGAGTTTTTGTGTTCCGTATATATGAGGTTTGGTCTTTAAACAAAGAGTTACGAGCCAAGTGAACTACTTATTTGAGAAAAGTTCATACTTTATCCTCCCAAAAAAAACCGAATAATCTTTATGAGAGCTTTAAAGCAGTAAAAACTTAGTCATAAAACAAGAGAGAACGCTATAGTCGGGTTGTTGTCCCGACTATCTAATACCCGTCACTCAGCTAAAGGGAGTGCGAACGCTGTGTCGGGTTGGTGTCCCGACTAATAATCGTAACTCAGCTAAAGGGAGTGCGAGGGAGATAGATATATAATTTTTGATTGCGTATAACTTTTTAATGAATGGTCCGATTTGAAAACTGTCTTCTACATTTCGATAGGTATAAATATACACAACAAAATTGCATTTATACTTCTCGGAAATCTTTAAAGATGTGGGCGCAGGACCCATTTGAAAACCGTTAGTGGGCGATTGTGGGCGTTAGAGGGGGCGTGGCGCTCGGCTAAAATAAACTTGCGCTGCGTAGGAAGCCAAAGAATATGTGTGGGAAATCTCAACCTTCTAGCTTTTGTAGTTTCTGAGATCTCAGCGTTCATACAGACGGACAGACGGACAGACGGACAGACGGACATGGCTAGATCGACTCGGCTAGTGACCCTGATCAAGAATATATATACTTTATGGGGTCGGAAACGCTTCCTTCTAGCTGTTACATACTTTTGCACGAATCTAGTATACCCTTTTACTCTACGAGTAACGGGTATAAAAAAATGTGTTGAGTAAATTATTGAAGTGAAAATTTTTAGCCAATTCCATTGCCATTTTGAATATTATTGAAATCTAACTACAGCGTCTTAAGAAAGATCCTTCCTGTAAACCGAAAAACACTATTTTATTTATAAATTTTAATATAATAGAAACGCAATACGCCGTCATACAAGGGTTTTAGTGCTGAAGGAATCTCTTTGTGTGGTAAATTTAATTAAATTTCAATTTAAAGTAGCATACCCATATTCCCTTACAAATGGATTGAACAATGGTCGGACATTGCCCCTTTTGGGTGTGCGAGTGGGCGTGGCTTAAAGGGCTGTGTGGGCGTGTGTGTGCGTGGGCGAGGGCGAGGTGCGCATCCTTTTACTGTTTTGTCCGTGTCTGTGCCTTGGAGCGCCTGCAATCCGTCCGCTAGTCCTGCCATCCGTCCAGAAGTCCACATGAAAGAGTCTCCGTTGGCGTTCAAACGCAGCGCTTAAAGCATTTGAAACCCTCTTTTATGTCTGCGTCATCGGTTTTATTTTTTACCAACCCATCGAGAGGGTTGAGCTCGTTAAGCTCCCGAACAAAAGCGTGACCCGTTCGATCTAATAGCGACCATGGGATTTGATGGCCAGCTTAACGCCCGCCGGCAATAGATTGATGTTCAGTTGACAGTTTTGCCGGCTGCAACAATATGCAATTTACCAAAAAAAATCATTCCACACCCCTGCGCCAGCCACAGAATTTATATAAAATGCTCATGCTAATGCCCGGGCCATAAAAACCGAATCAGTCCCCAAAGTGGCCATTGAATAGAACTGTCTGTCCCTCTCGCTTTTTGCCCTCGAACATTTTATTAATTACCGGCAACCGCAAACTTCGTGTAGTATGCTCCCTGCCTGTGGTTTGGCTTTAATTAATATTTTTTACATAAAGTGTACCCTTTGAGTTGCGGTGTATATCAGTTATTTGTAAAGCAAAATAATTAAAAATAAAAATTTTATCCTTAAGAAAATTTAAGAAAGGTTTAAACTACTTAAAAAATTTAACTGATAAATTGTATACATTTATATCTGTATTAATACTGCTCCTATCCTTACTTAAGTGCCTTAAACATTTATTTACAATACCAATCATTTATTTATCCATCCAACTGGGTGTAATTGAGTTGTATCGAACTGTATCCTTCCCATTTAATTATTGCACTTTATATTTAATTGGCTTTGTGTAAAAGCCCCGGCCAATGGGCAAGACAAACAGCAAGTGCATTGACACTTTGCATAATTTATAACACTTGCCTGTGCTCTCTCGTACCCCTGGATATACAGTGTATACACATATACCCATATGCAGTCCTTGTTTCAATTTCAAATTGAAATGCAAACTTAATTCCGTAGGAAAAAGAGAGCATCGCAGGAGGTGTGAGATTGCTGCATGCGAGTCTGTTTGCTTAGTTAAATCTTAATCAAGTTGCTTCGTTGATTTCGATTTGTGGCGCGCATAATAAATGAGGAGTCCTTTGTCCCGCCGCTTCCGGACTCCCCCGGCAAGCCAAATCAACGCCCAGGACTCGTACAAAAATAACACAAAAATCCACTCAAGCGTTAAAACAAGAAGAACAACAACAGCAACACCAGGAGCAGAATAAAAAAAGTGCCAAGCGCTAACGGGGACAGTGAATATATTTGTGTATATGTGTATTATTTCAAGTCCTGCCAAGTCTGTGCGCCAAGTCCTTAACTGATTTCCCAGCGCAAACAAGTTGGTCTCTCCAGTTGTCGTTGTTTTGGTCCCGAGTCCTGTGAATCCTGTGTCCCCTGTCTACTGTCCCCGCTCTTTCTCTCGCATAAAAATACAAAGTTTATGTTATGAACACAAATAAAAACAAAAGCACACAACAAAGCTCGCCCAAGAACAACAGAAAGTGCGCAAAAAAATACGAGCCAGGAAAGGAATAAAATACAATAAAATGAAATAAAATATCCACAACAGCACACAGCAAGAACAGAGTCATTTGGCCACAACTGAACGGTACACAGTAAAGAAAAGCAGGACCTTACATACATAAAATATAATATCATTGATCAAATAATGAAAAATTAATTATGATACCCAAATGCGATATCAACCGCTGAACCTTTAAAACATTTTCTGTTCAACAATTTTCTGATTTGAATTCAATACTCTTTGGTATCCCATTCGAATCTCGAAATATTGAAATACTTTTTCTGGGTGTAAGAATCTTAGCCCCTCTTTCAGCAGTATATTTGCAAGTTGACGTGTCGTGTCTGCTGTCCCCGTTTTCCAAATCCAGTGCCACAAAGAGTGCGATACCAGACGTCAACCACAACACCCATCAGCACACAATATGTGCATATGTGTGTGTAAGGAGGGATCTCAGAGTTCCGGTTCTGGATGCGGATGGTCCGGTGATGACACTTACTCAATTAGGTGACTTTCCTCGACACTGATTTGCCTTTCTGCTGGCCATTTTTATTGGGTCGTAACTTTTTGCCAGAGAGCCATCCTGTTCGTTTACCTTGATTAGTTTAGTCGTCTCTTGTGTTGGCTTTTCATCATACAGAATTCATTTTTAGTTTTTCAATTTTCCAAATAATTCAATAAGGCCTCATTCTCGTATTTTAATTTTGTGAGTTATGTTTTCATTTGGTTACTGTAATCAAGTGATCGAGATTTAAGACCTTTTTGTTTAGTTATGCATGGTTAGTATATAAAAATCTATTTGTAGTATAGTGTAAATTAAAATAAATAATTTATTGTAAGCTTTTAAATTTCATTAGGCTGTAAACAATCTACTAAATTAAGCTCTGGATAGAACGAGATTAAATTTACCTGAATTTACATTGCCCTTGTTCGTTTAGCTTCCGTTTTTTCATTTGTCCACTCGTCTCGCTGTTTTTTCTACTATTCATAAATAACACACAAACAAACCACACCTGCGCTCTCACTTTTCTCCTGGGATTTTCGGGCCTCGCACTGTTCGGCCACAGTTGGCGGCAATGACATTCAAAATATGTAATGTGAAAAGGTAGCCAAAAATGTAACTTTAAATTGAAAAACAAAAAAAAGTTTGTTCTCAGCGACTTTACAATGCTGCTGCTTAAAAAACAAAACGGAAAAACTCGTGTGCGGAATTTTACCTCTAGTAAACATAAAACGCTGCATACTTTGGGGACACTAGTTCGCAACTGGGCGACAATAAAAAGCAAGCAAAGCGGAGAGACCCGATAGGGGAGTCCTGTGGAATGGGAATAGAAAGAGGTAAAGCGTGAGGCAAAAGTCATAACGAGTGCAAAACCATGAAATGAAATCGTTACCCCGCCCCAACCCACACACCTGACTTTCCACGAACATGCGGCCTTATTGGAATACCCTTATCAAGCCCTGACACATGTGGGTTTTATTTTTTCTGGTCTGAGCCTCAAAAACCTAACCACGAAAAGCCATAATATTATTAAATAAAAATATATGCCTAAAAATACCACACAATTTCTACTAAAATAAATAAAAATAACTAGGGTTATAAAATTAATTTTGTAGAACATCTGCACAAATTAATTTTAAAATGTAATAAATGTTGAAATCATAAAGTAAAGATATAGCTATTATATTAACAGGTTTAAAATATAACTCTATATGCAAATTTAAAGCTAGAGCTCAGGAATCCATTAATATTGGCTTAAAAATGATATCTCAATTTTTTTCAATTAATTTAATAGGATTGCAAACTTTTGGTCAGGTTGAAAATACTCTCTGCAAGCGTATAAAAACTCGCGGTTTATTGTACAATGCGAGCTCGCCTTTTTTACATTCGACATTTGTGGGTGTGCCGGTGTGTAGTAGTGTGTGCTGGATGTCCTGGGAGTGTCACACATGGATGCGACACCCCCAGGATCGCTGCTCCCGATTCCCTGCTCCCTGCACGCACTTGGGCGGATGATGGCCGGGGCGGTGGTTGAAATTAAGCAATGTGTCCCTAGAGTACACTACGTTGCGTATACGTAATGTGGCCGTGCTTTTTGGCGGCGATGCATTAAAAATGAATGCAATTTAAAGTTGCCAGCGCGCCACCCC